TAAGATTTGCGTGTTGTGTAATGTATGTATATGTATATATATGTAAGAAGAATTATTTGCAGCAAGATATTCAGCACCGGGAGCAGTACAGAACCAACCACCTGCTGGTTCGATGAATTCCTGTTATCAAGCGCCATCTGGACACGATATGTGCTCACCCCAGCTGATGTCTCCAAATCAAACTTCAGTTCCAGGTGCAGTTTCACAGGCTCCTGCTAATGGTTTGCCACCTCCTGGAGTGAATAACATCCCTCTGCAACGGAATATCGCTAATAGTAGTATGTTCATTTTAAAACTATTTTAATTTCAAGATGAAATATGGAAAATGTTCGTCTTATGTGAGTTTTAACGATTTACTTCCAAAATTTTACTTTCCATTAAAAAGAATGACATTCACTTCTAAAATATCTGAGTATGCATATGGTCTATTTTATATTTTTATAAGACTTTGTTTATTGTGAATCTATTTTGTTTTTAGTGGAAATGCAACCAAATACAGCTCCTTCTGTGAATTCTCAACACATTCGTTTGGTGCAGCAAACTTCTTTTTTCTATGGACATGATCCAAGCGTTGCTGGAAATTGTATTTGTTTACTGAAATCAATAAAAATTTTCTATCTTTCTCTATTACATTTTCTTTTTATCATTCTGATCTAATCAAGAATCAAGTTACTGATTTAAAGTAACTAGGTAAGTGTTACAGTGCAATCAGATATGTGTTTGGTGGGTTGTTTTTTCGTAGTCATTGAACATGAAGAAGTATTATTGGATCGTTTGGATGTAATGGATGTCAGTGCCACAGTTCGATTACATGGTGGAGAAATTGAATTTGGTACACGAGCCTATAATAACGTGAACAGTGAAAGGGTAACCCATGTCATCTGTGAATCAATGCGACATCAATTAGTTCAGCAGGTATTAATTCCAGTGTTTACAAAATTTTCCTGCATCAGTTGCAGTTGTCAAGCAAATTCTTGCTTAACGGGTTTTTAGAAAACCTCCGTTAGTCTTTTTACATTACTATATCAAAAACAATGTAGCATTTCTGTAATGCTGATATTAATCTCTTCTGTGACATCCACGAAGTTCATTGTACCTAATCGTGCATGGTATTAATTTTAGTCTTTTTAAAGGCATTTAAGAAAGGCAAACGGTGTGTAACACTGCACTGGTTGAATGATGTTATTAGCAAAAAACATCTCGAAGCACCCTGGTGTGCTTATCATCTGCCAACTTTTTGGACAGATAATCACAGACCAGCCTATGGCAAAGTGCGTTTCCAATTTTACTTTGTTTTGGATCGAAGGAATAGTTTCAAAGTTAAAATTAAGTGAATCTGAACAGTTTCTGTAAATTTAAAAACTGCATAATCTTTTAAAAGGCAATTAATAATTATAAGTGCGCCTACATAGTCAATATTAATGTAAAATGAATGATGAGTTCGATTTCTCAGTACTTGCATTTTTCAGATAATATGTGTTAATGGTTTTGATGAGGATGAAATACCAAACATTAAGATGATGATTATTGCCATAGGAGCTCGTTATACTCCTCATTTCACCGCTCACAACAATTATATGATCTCAAAAACGTATGAAAGTTTTATGTATTATTTAGGATGTCTTTATTGCTGATGCAAGGATATATCGTAATTTTCGTGAAGAATTTGTCATCAGTTTTAGATACGACACCGAAAAATTTGAGGAATGTCGTGAAATGGACATAGTAATTGTTACATATCAGTGGCTGGTTGATTTATATTTGGGTGTTAAAAATTCAGTAAGTGATGATGAAAATTATCGGCCTGTCCCTGGTATGGTCACAGATATCAACATCACACCTTATAAGCTGGAGCTTGTTTCAGAACTTTGCAAACAATTGTTATGTACGTTGTTTGTCTTTTTTTAATTTTTGATTGATTTGGAAAATTCTCATTCGAAGTATCTCATTCTGTTATTCTTTAAATTTTTGTTCTTGTAAAATATAAGCATTGTAGAAATTTGATGTTATCATACTGAAAGAACTACATTATCAAGTTGGAGTATTACACTTTGCTAAATAGATGCTACTGGTTTTTCTATAGTTTCTGAGGTTGCTGTTTTTTTTTCAGATGCATGGAAAGTGCCCATTTTATTTACAAATGAGCAGTGGCAGCGAGCTCTTGAAGTTAAAAAAAGTGTTAGCAGTGATGAAAACATTTTTCCAACTATGCGATTGCGGTAAGCTACAGTTTTTCAAGTTTAAATTTCTTTTTTGTTATTGAAGATAAAATAATTATTTGTTTCAACAAATTTGTAGTATAATTTTTGTAGTATGACTACTCCTCCTCCCACCAACGAAGAAATCGAAGCGCATTTGTCTAAAATTGGTCCAGTGACAGATGATCTTCCTGTAGTATGTTTCACAGGTTTTCCTCTTGAAGAGGAAGATTGCTTGGCTAGGGTATGTAGATGTAGATATTTTTTTTGCTTTTTATTTTTCTTTGCAAAATTAAGTTTTTGAAATTTTTAGAAGACATTTTATTATGTTCGATAACTTTCATGATCTCAAACCAGCTCTAGATTATTTTTTCTTAAATGTCTGTTTTCATTATTTTTTAAAGGTATGAAAATCATTTTGAAAATATAGTGTATAAGAAATTTTCAGAAAGTACGTTTTCTTGGCGCAAAAGTTACTCAGAATGTATCTGAATGCACGCATCTTGTAGTACTCAATTTGTGGCGTACATTCGAACTTTTAGTTGGAGTAGCATTAGGCAAAAATATTGTTGGCTTTAACTGGGTGAATGACGGATATCGATATCGTTATTTCCCTGGTAATTTCATGAAAAATCATGCTTCCTTTAAAGTCGAATCATGGCATTTTTTGCAAATTCGTAATCTGCAGCGATTATTTTTGTACTAAGTTCTGATTTTTAAATACTGCAGATACTTATGATTACTTTGCACGTGATGAGGACAGCGAGAAAGTATTTGGTTACAATCTGAAATATAGCGTTTTAAGAGCACGTCACAGGAAAGCATTTCAGGTCATTTTTGCTTTGTGCTTCAGATTATTCATTTACAAACTGCATCAATTCAGCTTTTCATTTTTGGTTTTGAAATCGAATTTTTTCCGTGGAATAAGGTATTTATTTTGAGGGTGCAACGTTCTATCTGACTCCAACTGTTGAGCCTTCTCGAGAACAGCTGTCGACTCTCATTGAATGTGCAGGAGGTGTTGTTCTAAAAGAATTGCCAGAACCTCAATATGTGATACGGTGTATTGAAGTATTGATTATGCTTACAACTTTCAAATTAAATACAAGAATTGAGCATTCATTTAAGCAAGAATATTTTTTGTTTACATCTGTTGTTATCTAGAGTATTTTATCTTTACACCCATTTATTTTTATTTACACCGTGTTTCAGACAGAATCGTTGCTGCTTTTAATCAGTAATGAAAGTGACGTGCATTTGTTACAGTACTTAACTGATGCTGGATTGCGTATGATTTATTCTTCTTTACTTTTATCATTATTGTTTGGACAGATTTTAAGTTAAGCTGAAAATGAAAGCATCAAGATAAAATTTTTCAGCTGTTTTCAACGCAGAAATAATTCTGACGGGTGTTTTGCGTCAGAAACTAGAAAATTCGTCTCTTTATCGCATAACACCTAGCCGACCTCCACTGTCGTCATCACAGCCTCAACCGGCCAAAGGTGCAGAAAACCCTGCTAGTCATCGCGTAGCTTCTAATCGACAACCATTACAACCACTGTCAGCACAAGCGCAGACAACCAGAAGTGCTCAACACAATGTTTCTCATCGGGTCAATTCATAGAATTTATTTTTTCTATTTTACTTTAAATCATATTAAATCCATGTCATAAGTAAATACTATTATTTATATGTTGGAAAGGGAATTGTCGTTTTGCATATCTCATTGATGTCCATTCGCTTCAGGATTTATATTTCATCTTATGCACTCAGCTGTTTCATTTCAAAAATTTCTCTATATTTTCAGTAATATTCTGATAATATGTACTCTCCTGTATGATATGTCTTTTTTGACTGATTGTTTAGTTATAACGGAAATGTTCAGTTATTTATTACAGTTTTGGTATACATTTTTTTTTGCTTTCATAGACGTCGCTGTTTTGTTTTTGAGAGATCTGCACGTGAATAGGAAAGCAAATAGAAGTCATTTTCAGAATCTATAAAAAGATGTAGAACGAGATTTATGACTGATGTAAATGTGGTATAATATAATATTTTAAATTATAGATAGATAATAGTCAAGTTTTTGATAAAGAAAACGAGAAAGAACAAAAGGAAGAGATGGAAAAGGAAGAGAAGGAGAATGAGGAAGAAGAAGAGGAAGAGAAGGTGGTGGATGAGAGTGAGGAGGAGAATAGTGAGAATGAGGATGAAGCTGAAAATGAGGATGAAGCTGAAAATGAGGATGAAGCTGAAATTGAGGATGAAGCTGAGAATAAGGATGGAGATGGAGAAGATGATCGAGAGAACCGCTGTGTATAAATGGAATTATGAGTTGCTAAAAGCATGGTCTTCATTTCATGATTGTAGAAGGTTCACTTATAAAATGCAATTGTTGATTTATTTTAACCTTTATTCCGTCGGTATTGTCTGCTTAGTTATTTCCGTTGATTTCATGCTTTGTCATGGATTAAATAAAATTTGTCATTTTGGTGAAATAAAGAAACTGCAGAATTAATCAGCCCTTAGATGATTCAGTATGAGTTGCGAAGGAATGACAACGTTGGGGCAGAATGGGTTAGTCCAGTTTTTTCTGATATGAGTGTCTGGCGAATAATTTGAGATTTTGCTTGATTTTAGAAAGTTGACTTATAAAATGCAATTGTTGATTTTAACCTTTATTCCATCGGTATTGTCTGCTTAGTAACAATTTCTGCTGATTTTATGCTTTGTCGTGGATTATATAAAATCTGTCATTTTGGTGAAATAAAGAGCAGGAAAGTTTTTCTTGTCCAGCAGTTTAAGTTTGTGCTAATATTGCAGAATAAATCAGCTCTTACGTGGTTCAGTATAGGTTGCGAAGGAATGAGAACGTTGGGGCAGAATGAGTTAGTCCAGTTTTTTTCTGATTGTCTGGGGAATAACAGTGTAGTTCCTAGTCGAGTTGCGTATTGGTAGTTGCGTTGCATTGTAAGGAATTTCGATCAGCACTGGAAGGTAGGACTTAGTTGTGGAGTGTGCCTTAGGGTATTTCAGGTCCGATTTCCTCATTTGTTTGAATTCAGGCTCTGTCAAAGAATGAGGTGGGAAGAAGAGCGGCGCAAGGTTTATTTCGTGTTTCATTTACTTGATTAAGTCACCAAAATGCCTCTTGAAGTTAGGGAAGCAGTTATGCAATCAGGCTGTTTGGTCATTTAATGCGTACAATATATAGTCAGACGAATAGCTGTGTTATCTGCAACTCCGTGACGCGTGGATAGCTACTAAAGATTTGGTTCGATTCACTGTAGTTTAATCGTGCTCTTGCTACGTGTTATGATTCACATCCAACAGAAGTCTGCGTTTTTATGACAATTTTTGTCTAAATTCACTATAAGATCTTTTCAGATGAGAAAATAAGAGTATAGTTAAGTGGCGGTTTTCAAATTACTGATGTAAGCAGATAGAAGCGTTATGTTCGGACTAGAAACTCGATGGGCTCAAACAAATCGACTTATCAGTTATTGATCAGATACTTACTGTGGACTTGTGCTTTTTGGAATTACTTATACGAAATTTTGTTCAGCTGGATAGATCATTTGAACTTTGTTTAATGATTGTTAACAGATATGTTGTAATGTGATCTTGTAGTAATAGGTTGAAGTATGGCAAAAGTTTGACGTAAGTGTCAGCGCAAAGACTAGGATTTACGAGTACGGGCAATATCGATCTAGACAAGGGTAATGTGCCTGAAAAGAGTGTCGAGTGCAAAGGAGGCGGTGTGTGGGTAGTAGTAGTTAGGCATCCTCTCGGATGCATAAGTCAGTGCTTACATTTTATCTACCGTTCTGTTTTTTTCAGGCATTTAAATTAATTATGTGATTGAATTCACTTCTCTCCTCTTTATAATTCTATATACTGCAATGAGTAGTAACGGAGCTGACGTTTCGGGTTTGTTGTTTATTACAATCAATCGGTTATGATTTGTGATTTCATTGAATTCGTGAAATAATGAGTGACTGACTGAGGTTAGCATATGTAGAGAAAGGTGAAAGCTGTGAAATATTATTCATTCTGTATTTGGTGATTGTGTAATGCAAATATTTATTTGTTTTCGGAAGATTGAAGTCAAAGTTACGTTTGCTTCACCTCGAATTTTTGTATTGACAGAAATATACTGGTGTAGTAGTCCTGAGTTGTTATGTTAATTTAATATTGATGATAGTGATAAAAACCATGTTTAAAAATCGGTATTTGATGAATTTTTCAGTAAAAGAAGAAAGGAAGACATCTGAAAATGAAAAATCATCATCAACTGCAAAAATGAGTGGACCTATGCAAACTGTTGCTTCAGAAACAGCAGCAAGGTTTAATATTCTTAATAGTTATGTCATTCATATGAAAAGCATTATCTTATTGACACATGCATCCTGGTGTTTTGCTTTAATTTTGATTTTCATTGCAAGTATTTTACAAATTGTACACTTGCTTATTTTTGGCTCTAAATTTTAGAAGTTCGGATGCGGTTGATGTACTTGCTCGGGAGGCGGAAAATCTTCGGAAAAAACTTGAAATAGAAAGACAGAAATTGAATGATGTTTCCAGTAATCTTTTCGTTTTCTCTCTTAGGCTGCTTTGATCCTCGTGTGTAAAGTTCCAAAAACAATATAAGAAACGAAAAAAAAAAATACTTTATCCGTAATGTTTTTCGTTCAGAAATATTCAGAATGAGAGTAATGTGTTATGAGAAACAGCATTCATTTTCTCTTCATTCGTTCTATCACTATAAATCCATATTGGTAAGATTAATTATGGTGTAAAGTATTTTTTAAATTAGTTAGATGACACTTTTGTGTAAAGATTAAGAAATCAGTTTCGTTTAGTTGAGCAAGCTGCAGAAAAATTAGAGCCTTTGACACAGCTGAATATCAAACAGCGTCGCATATTGAAAGGTCATGCTGGTAAAGTGCTTTGTATGGATTGGTGCTTAGATAAGCGACATATTGTATCTTCATCTCAGGTTTTGACTTATTAACTTAAAACTATTTGCTGTATTCTTGATGATTGCTTACTTGTAGAACTATCCACCTTGTTTATCAACGCAACGTTAATGAAAAAAAATTTAACTAAACTTTCATTGCGAGTTGTGCAGTCTCTTTAAGTCAGTGCGTTCTCATTTTGACTATCAAAACTAGTGGTTGTTGAAAGATAACGTACTAGTGATCAGGTTTTATTCTCTCAATCAAAAGTTTCATATGAGACCTATAAGTTTTTTTATTAATCTAAGAGTATAGATATTTTTCATTGGAAGTAGATAGATACAAATAATTTGCTCTCTTTAAAAATGTACATTGAAGGCTTTTTTGGCACTCTTATTTCAATATTGTAACCAAATGTTAGATTGCTCATTCACTATTTTTATAGGATGGTAAAGTAATCGTGTGGGATGGTTTTACAACAAATAAAGAACATGCATTGACGATGCCAACTACATGGGTAATGGCATGTGCGTACTCTCCTAGTGCCCAAATGATCGCCTGCGGGTAACACTAAATAATTAACTATTGTCATATATGTTATTTATGGAAGGCTTGATAGATTAAAGCGTGCAGAAGCTACGAGATTGACGAATTAATTTAAAAGTAACAGCGTATGTTACTTTGTTGTAGGGGTTTGGACAATAAGTGCTCAGTCGTGCCACTCAGCTTTGATGATGATATTTTACAGAAGAAGCGATCTGTTGCGACACATACAAGTTATATGTCGTGCTGTACTTTTCTTAAATCTGATAATTTAGTAAGTCATCATTATATCTTCAGATTTAAGCAAATGAGAAACATCTTAGTCATACGCTGAAAACATTATTTCTGAAGATTTCATTTTTCCCAAACATAATGAAGATATTAATGCAGTTATTTGCAGCTTTTAACTGGTAGTGGTGATTCAACATGTGCTATATGGGATGTAGAAAGTGGTCAAATGATTCAAAACTTTCATGGTCATGTTGGTGATGTTTTCGCAATTGACGTGCCAAAAAGTGATACGGGCAATATTTTCATTTCTGGGGTATATTTCATATTAAGCATAAATCAGTTTCATTGCAGCAAGTAGAGGCATCTGAAAATATTTTTTTCCAAACTTGAACTCATAAATTAGATTTGATTCTTGCATTTTCAGGGAGCAGACAAGCACGCACTAGTTTGGGATATAAGAACTGGGCAGTGTGTACAATATTTTGAAGGGCATGAAGCTGATATTAATACACTTAGATTTCATCCCAATGGAGATGCATTTGCCACGGGTTCAGATGATGCCTCTGTTAGTTTTACTCACTCAGTTTTAGTTATTTTAGTTTCCTGCAACAGGAATTACTTTATTATTTTTTTATCTGAAACTTTGGTCTTTCAGTGCCGATTGTTTGATTTGCGTGCTGATCGGCAAGTTTGCATTTACGAAAAAGAATCTGTCTTGTTTCCAGTGAATGGTGTCGACTTCAGTTTAAGTGGTATGTTCCAGAAGTTATTGTAATAATGTACTAGTTTCACTTCAGGCTTGAAAGAGCATTTAGAGCTGTAAACATCTTGTAAAATTTCGTTGAATCTTGGTAATATCAATAATAGGGTTGTTAAAGAAGCCCATTAGCATTCTTACTAATTATCTAGTTGTATGTATAACCTCATTTTTTCTAGCTTGATTTACTCCTTTTGTAAATTGAACATTGAACATAAAGACTTGTGAACAATCTTTATGTTCAATGTTTCAATTTACATCGCTTTCCATTGATATGAAATACTTATTAAATGAGGTTTCCAGGTCGCATACTCTTTGCTGGCTACAGCGATTATCGTGTTGGAGTTTGGGACTCATTGAAATGTGTACGACACACCGTCCTGTACGGTCATGAAAATCGGATTTCCTGTTTGCGGACAAGTCCAGATGGCACTGCTATATGCTCTGCTAGTTGGGATTGTACGATACGAGTAGGTTCCCGAAAGTCATTGATTACCATTTCATCTGATTTTAACAAACAGAGACTTTTCATTCCAGATATGGGCATGAACTGCACTCAACAAACCACAGTACGGATTTCTTCATACTTCATCCATAACAATATATATTTCCTAATTTTACTACAATTTACATGTATATCATTTTTCCTTCTTGACTATTATTGTGATGTAACACATGCATAACAGTTATGCAACGTCTTTTTTGAGGGATAACTTATTTAACAAATATTTAGTTACAGCAAATGCAGCTAATTTTTGGATCATCTTTCATATCACAGAAGCTGAAAATTACCTTCTAGAATTCAAAGACTAAAAAAACATCTATGTATGGCCAAAGTAAGGAAAGATGCTTTCAAATAAGATCGTCGTTATATAATTTATGAGTAATGTGTTATTTTACTACTGGTTGAGTTCAATTTTTATAATATTGTTCTTTAGACTTACACTTTTTGACACTGTATTTTAGTTGTGTTGTGTTCTACTTTTTTTTT